GAAAAAACGCTGGCCATATTCCAGGACCAAGACGGGGGAATACACACCCGGGTCTGGAAGCTGATGGGGTGGCGAGAGGACGGTGGCGGAAAGGTTCTCCGAATAGGGATCGTTAACTCTTCCGTGGAAGACATCGGGCGGGGCGGTCACATTCTGCGGTACCGCTTCGGTAAAATCCCTGTATACGGGCTCAGAATGGGGCAGCCCGAAAGAAGAGGGTTGGTTGAATCCTCGGCGGGCCGGGTAGAATCGCCACGGGAGTCATATGATCCCAAAAAGGAATCGGCGGACGAGGGGGGTCTTTCCGAGGTATATGGGACCCCAGATGAGGGGCGTCCCCCTTCATTAACGACGAAGGAGATGGTGGAGGAGCTAGAGCTAACCCTTCTAAGTCTTAGGGAGTCCTTCCCATTAAATGACGTCCCGATGGCAGGAGAAGATCACCCTGCCAGTCAACTCAACAAATAAGGGACGACACATCAAAGGACTGTCAATTAGGGATGCGCAGGTAGCATGGGATTGTGGGCAGGACCGACCCAGGACCTGCATTCTAATTAGAAAAAACACTAACTTTATTTTACTTTCAGAGTACATGACAAGGGACCTCACACCTTTCAGGGCCGCATTAATGTTGGGGGCAAGGACTTGGAGATAGTGCTCGCATCAGCGTACTTTCCGAGTGATGGCGCATCCCCTCCTCCACCGGAGGTACGGAGGCTTGTGGAGCAGTGCAATAGGAAAACGTGGCCACTCAACATAGGCTGTGATGCGAATGCGTATCACGTTGCATGGGGGAGCCGCGACACCGATACTAGAGGTGAGTCTTTATTAGAATTTGTAGTTAAAGAAAACCTAGAAATATTTAATGTAGGGAATGCCCCAACTTTTGTAACTAGGGTTAGAGAGGAGGTACTGGATATCACATTTGGCAGTCTGAATGTGGGGTTTCTGGTACGCGACTGGAAGGTATCGGGGAGGTTTCTATGTCAGATTATAGTTGGGTGGGTTGATGGAATCTTCCTTCAGAAATCCAAGGCGGACAAACTGAGAGGAATACAGAAGGGACCTGGAGGCAAAGCATAGCGGAGACGCCAGCGGCTGCGAGGCTGCACAGGGCCCTGGCTAGAGACAGGGTGCCAGTGACTGTTTCTTTAAGGAGGCTGGATGGCGACAACACGGAGAACGAGGAGCAAAGAATTCTTCTCCTCCTGGAGGCGCATTTCTCTGGAAGTGCTCCGTATGTCGGATCCGTGGCGTGGGAATGCAGGACACCATGTCCTGAGGATTGGCGGAGAGCTGCGCGCATAATTACGGAGGAAGGATAAGGTGGGCTGTTGGCACTTTCCAGCCCTTCAATGCGTCGGGAGTGGATGGGATTTTACCAGCACTTCTGCAACGCGGGCTGGAGCCTTTCTTAAAAAGAATATTTAGGAATAGCTTGGCTCTCGGATACATTCCCAAGTTTTGTCGGGTGGCTAGGGTTGTCTTTATTCCCAAAGTGGGAAAGAGTGACATGGTGCCCAAGTCATTCAGACTGCTTAGTCTCACTTCGTCCTTATTGAAGACGATGGAGAAAATAATTGATAACCATGTCCGGGTGGGGGTGCTGGCGAGGAGGCCGCTGAGCGATTGCCAGCATGCGTATCGGTCGGGGAGGTCGACAGAGACCACTCTGTTTCGCCTTGCCACTACCCTATAAAGATCAATAGAGCAGGGAGAGGTGGCGCTATGCGCGTTCCTGGATATCGAGGAGGCCTTCGACAATACTTCTCATGAGGCGATTGCGGCCGCCCTGAGGCGTAGAGACGTGGATGATAGCACCTCTCTATGGATGTCCAATATGTTGGCTACGAGAGTAGCAGAGACTGCTGTGGAGCAGAGCATCCTAAGAATTTGCGTGGCCAAGGGATGCCCACAGGGTGGGGCTCTGTCCCCGCTAATGTGGAGTTTGGTGGTGGATGTACTCCTTGATGAGCTGCTTCGTCAGGGAATTGGTGTCCAGGCTTACGTCGATGATATAGTCATCATCGCTAGAGGTAAGTTTAAGGGAACTCTTTGTGATATAGTCCAAAGGGGAATACGGGTACCCCGGGCCTGGTGCGATACTGTGGGCCTTAGGATTAACCCTAACAAGATGGCTCTGGTGCCTTTCACTAGGAGAAAGAAGCTGGAGCATTTAAGGTCAAATACTTAAGAGTGGTGTTTGATTCCAAGCTTCTTTGGCGAAGTCACGAGGAAGCTGTGTGTACACTGGCAACTCGGGCACTTATGGTTTGCAGGGCCATCTCGAGTAGGTTGGGGGCTGCTCCCCGTCTGTCATGTGGTGGATGTATACCATGATGGTCGTGCCGCTCCTAACTTATGGAGCAGTGGCATGGGTAAGAAGGGTGGGTCTTGGTACGGCTAGAATAAACCTGGAACGATTGCAGAGACTTGCATGCGTCTGCATTTCAGGGGCTATGAGAACTTGTACAACGGCGGCAATGGAGGCGATTTTGGGAGTAGCCCCCTTGCACCTTGTTGTGGAGATGGCAGCGAAGGCTGCCATTTTCAGGTTGGGGAGAAATGAAGCCGGAATAATCGGTGTGGGAGATCGGGGTCGTCTTGTCGGGGAGATTCCGCTCCTATCGATGCCTAGAGACGATATGGTAAGCAGGTGCAGCTTCGAGAAAAATTTTGCCTCGTTGCTGAGTAGCAGAAGCGACTGGGAGCGTGACTTTTCGGGCCTCTCAGTTGGAACACACGTTATTAGATGGTACGCAGATGGTCAAAGACCAGTATTGGGACGGGTGCGGGGGTATTTGGGCCAAGGACCAAATTCTCCAAACCTATAAGAACTTTTCCGAGTGTGTTTCGGGCTGAGTTGCACGCCATTGAAATGTGCGTGCCGTTAACTCTGGAAAGGGGGTATCGGGGACAAGAAATAATGATTATGTCGTATAGCAGGACTGCGATCGGAGTGCTGAACTCGTTTTCAGTATCCTCCGCGGCAGTATGGGGCTGTCTTGAGAAGCTCAATGAGTTAGGCAGATGCAACCGGGTCACACTGTGTTGGGTGTCGGACCATGTGGGCGTGAAAGGAAATCAGGCCGTTGATGCGTTTGCAAGGAAGGGGGAAAACACACCTCTTCTTGGGCAGGAGCCCTTATGGGGAATCGGATCACACACTTTTAATCGGACCACACACACACGTTGGGAATTAAGGAGAATCAGAAAGAAGGCGGTCGGAGCGCTGGAGAAGTCTTCCGGGGCTGCGGCAAGCCAAAGAGCTCCTGGGAGATTATAACCAGAAGCGATTTAAGAAAATTATAGGGATGGACAAGAACCAGGTGAGAGTCCTCACCGGCATTTTGACGGCTCCCTGCAGGCGTAGGGGACACCTCAGTCGGCTGGGCCTGGAAAATGAGGATGCTTGCAGATTCTATGGGGAGTATGGAGAGACCTCAGTGCACCTCCTTGGGGAGTATGATGCTCTTGCTCGTAGGAGGGGGGAGGTGTTGGGAGGATTTGCTCTAACGGCGGCTGAGTTTCGGTCTTCTGGTCCTCACAAGTTGCTTGAGTTCATCAGGAGGGTGGGTTTCGAGCGTGTGTTGTAGGGCATGCCCCGCACTCGGCGGGGGGCGCACAATAGATCCTTATACGTGGTCGCGGTGCATTGTTGCCCCCGTTGCACAAATCTACAAATCTTGTGAATTTTTTTTATTTATTTTTTTCGTGTACATAATTTTTTACTATTGTTTAAGTTCTTGTAAAATTAGTTAATTCCACTCAAAGGTTGTTTTGGAAAAAAGAATCCGAAAAAAGTATTTAATTTTAATAACAAATGCCTGTTGTTATTAAGCAACAATACTTTTATTTTAGTTCCAAATTTCGTTCATATGTATATTATATTCTAAAATTCTTATGAGGGGTCCCAATTTAAAATTCTCAGTCATTTTACTAAAATAATGGATTGTAGAACAAAATAGCATTGAAAAAAATATTGAAGACAATTTTTTTCTAGTTACCTTTCCACAGGCTGAGCATTGTCAAAGTAGTAACAAGGTGGTCTACTATGTAAATTTACGCAAGTTGATTTGCTGTTTGCAATTGGTTTGCTATGTAACAAAATCGCATCCAAAAAACCTTAACTTCAGCATTTTCTAAAACTTTTGTTTTTGACATTTCTGACAATTTTTTCAAATATTTGAATTATTTTAAAATAATCATATATTTAAATGTACGTATAATACATATTAAGGATTATTGTTAATTTTTTAAACAAATATGGATAGCAAAAGACTCTTACGCAGGTTAAGATTTAAGTATTGTTTTTGCTCAGCAAACCATTCTACTTATTATAACCGAAGTATGTAAGGGTATAGACGAAAAGTTTAGTTCCATAAGAATTAAAGAGAAAAGAGAAGCGAAAAAAATTTGGCATACTGCTATTTTCTTAAACCGAAATAGTTTCGCATTTTATTGCAATAGGTAAATTGCAGTAAATTTGAAATACACGGTTTTTTAAATTTAATAAAGTAACATAATTGGAACACTTACATTGTTTAGTTTTATTTTTCCAAAAACTTAAATTTTCGCAAAAAGATTCGTAAACAAAATGGCAAGTGAATGAAAAGTATGCGAAGGTAGCAAACTGTAATAGCATACTTTCGCATACACAAATTTGCGATATTCGATTTACATAGTGTCAAAATTTAAAATGCGAGAATCGCATGGGCTACAAGGGCATTTACTTATATGCCATACATTTTCAACTTCTATCTTATATGACATTCATAAGTTGAAAATTTTTATTTAAAGCAAAATTAAAAAATATTTTAAAATACATATTTATTTGAAATATTTGTAAAAAAAAAACAAATTTAAGCAAAATTCCTAAATTTTCTCTCTTCTAATAAATTTATTTAAAAAAGTAAAACAAAATGGTATTATATCGACTCATAAACATATTCAATATTTTGCTAATCGTTTAAAAGTAAATTCTGTAATAAAATATGCTGTTCTATTAACAATAATATACATTTTATTTCAATATTTACAAGTTTTACATGCAATAACTTGAAATTGAACTTTTACATAATTTATAAATATTGTAAGCTTAAACATAAATTATATAATTTCGTGCAAATTCCAAATTTTCTAAAAAAAACAAGTTTTTTTTTATTAACTATTCAGTTTTTAAGAACATTACATCAAAAATCCAAGTTTTATTTTACTCGTTAATTGTATATTTTTAAATATTTGTCTAAATTACTTAATGTATTTATGTAGGTACATACATAAAAGTTGATAATGGATAAGAAATTTCCAATTATCATCTATACAATGCTAACAGATTACTGATCTATTGATTTCAAATCCCAATTACAGTGTACATACTACATTAGTTGAATAATTTAAATACTACCCCCGTGAGTCGGGGTTTTGGAAGAGTATTTTGCAAATTTTATCACAACAAATCAATTAAAATAAATGCATATTTTTATTAATTTTCAGCCACTAAAAACGCATATAAAAGAACCACTTTTAGTCAACATGGATCCAATATGAAAGATATACATTAATAAGAAACCGCAGAGTAGTTGACAGTAAATAACTATATTTTGCTACACGTGCAAATTAGGGTTTATTAATGGAAATAATCTAAACTAACAGTTCGTTCTCCAAGACTTTTTTTAAGTTGATCATATATATGTAGTTGCTGTTCGGTTTTTAATGAAAGAACTTGTGACAACAATTTCGCAGGTGAGGCAGTGGCAATGAAGCTAGAAATGTACACATTTACAAAAGTTGCCATTAAGAACTGACAATCAAATCTGTCCATTATACCGCCGTGACCAGGAATCATATCACCGAAGTCTTTTATTTTAAACGCTCTTTTAAAACCTGATGCAAAAAAACCCCCAAACGGACCAATTACTGAACTGAAAACACTAAGAGAAAGTGAATGAAATGTGAATGGATAAATTTTCCAAATTTTACCAAATAAATAGTAATTTTGCTTTATAAATATGTAGCTCGGTTCACATTTTATTGTCATTTTTCCCAGAGATTCAGAATATTCAATTGGGCAAACAAAGTACTGATACTGACATAAAATTGTTGAAATAATTACTCCAAATATTATTGTCGCAAACCCACCACCAATAAAGCCCTCCCAGGTTTTTTTGGGGCTTAATTGTATAAGTGGAGTTTTCCCGAAAAAAAAACCAAACATGTAAGCCATTATGTCATTGCAAACAATCATAGATACAGGGACGACAAACCAAATCAATCCCTCAAAAACATTTTGAATTATCAAATAGCTTTGAGTCACAATAATTAACAAGGACACGTGAGTCCAAGCAAAAAGACTGAACTGCTTCATATAATACTTCTTAACCAAAGATAGCACGAACCATACGAATCCACCGCAATACAAACTAAAAGACAAAAATCTATGATAAACAACTAAAAATTTCAGATAACCAACACGATTTATAGCTACCCCAAAATAATCTACTAAACTTTCTCCATAAAAAAAATAATTAGAAGTTAGCAAAAAGTACCAAGACAAGCTTCGAAACCATGGCAATCCATGAATTCTGTAAACTTGATATCCAATTGAAATTATTTCCTGAAAGCATTTCACTTGAACACATAACGTTGCTATCATTAAAGCCAAGGGGCCTCCATAAATTAAGAAACCAAATACTAATATCATCACCCATGTGAAAATACCTCTTGTTACCCAGTTTCGCCACCTATCAGGAAGACCTTCAAGTGCCACTTTTAATATTTGTGGTATTTTATCTGTTCCTTTGGGCAATGTCGTTGCTAAATTATTTAGATACTTTTCTTCCGGCAACTTATCATCTTCTGAATCCAATTGATCTAAAGTAGCCAATTTAGGTTGTTCACTTAGATTAGACTCGAAATGCCTTTGCTTTAAATTTTTATCTTCATAAGTATCCTCACTCATTTTGAATACGTTTTGACCTTGCCAATTTCATGAATGAACATGAGTAATTACACCAAGCTACTGTTTAACTAGATTGATTTACTTTTCAGAAAAACTCTTAATTTAATTAACATATTTCTACCCGTACGTATTTGTTATGACTTTCTCTACATATTTTATTTATCTTCTTATGTTCGGTATTCTTCTTTTATTGAATGCAGGGTTTCTACCACGGCTGACAGAAATACATTTTTATGTACATTTCTAGCATTGTCCAACACTAAAATGCACCTCAGAAATATAATTTGCACTACTGTGCAATATGGCACCATTTTAAAGAGATTGAACTTTTTTGCGCTCAACATTAAATATTTGACAAAAATTTTTAATTTTTAATTTTTAAAAATTTTATGAAAAACAAAAAATCCAAAATGTAGTTTCAAAATGCAGTTGTTGTTATACGCTGTGGTTTGCTGAGAAATGATAAATGTTGCAATAATTATAATTTTCCAGCAAATGTGATAAATAATATTGGACCACTCAATGCTTATAATTTTCAAAAAGAAAATGACAACGAAAACAGCATACTGATATCATTAACAAACAATTCAAAATAAGTAAACTATTCTAAAATAGTTATAAACATTTTTCATTTAGGTTTTATTTATTTTTAATTAATTTGTCTTATTAATTTTCATCATAATAATGATACATACATATTGTACGTATAAGTAATACCATATATGTACATACATACATATGTACATATATCTATCAGGCCATCAAGCTCAGAGAGCAAATCAAAAATAAATTCCAAATTTTTGGATGTTAAATGGAAGGTGTGTCGGAATTTATTTGTGTGAAGGAAATTAATCAATATTTTTGGCACTGCTGATTCTACATGTTTTTTGAAATTTAAAATTTAAATTTCAAAAAATTGGTTAATAAATCCCATCTGGAAAATTTATTTGAAAAATGATTGAAATGGAAGGTACTGAATTACAGAGTAAAATTTTTGAATAAAAAATAGAATTTAAAAATAAATTGAAAAAAAAATCAAAAAAATAATAATTATAATTATTATTTCGAAAAATCTCACAATATTATACACATTTTTTTAAAAGCTTCCCGAATAAATTTTGTTGAACGAAAAAGAAAGATTTGTAAGAGGAAAGAAAAATTGAAAAAAATTTTCAAATTCATATTTCAGACATTTCGGTATTGTACCATTAATCAAATATTAATAAGGAGGGATGTACGGTTTTTCCACACTTTGTACTTTCAATAAGGTAACTTGGGTAGTGTCAGCATAACAAGAATGTTAATGAAATTAATATAAGGTACTTACGTATGTAAATTTTTGTCCGGTTGCGTTTAGAATTAAGATGGGTTAAACATACACAGGAAAGAGCATTTTGTAACTAGATAATTCTTCTCTGTCTGTATAAATAAAAATCTGATGTGGTCAGCACATAACCGACCGCATTGTGTATTGTCTAGTTAAATGAAAGTGTTACAGAATATTATAAAAATGTCTGTTAAATACTTCTTTCCAATTTTTAGGACATTAGTAAGCTTATAGTTAACATACTTAGAAAAATGTAAATTTGGCTCGTAGTAGAGTTTCGCTTTGTGCTACCCGAATTCCCTGAAATGCTCGCCAGTTAGTTTCGGTAACAACCAGAACTCAAATATCAAATTTCAAGAAATTCCATCAATTTGTTCTGTGGATATGGTGAAAAATGTAAAATCGGACCGCAAATCAGTTCTCGAGCCCTGATCTTTCCAAAAAAGTTATATGTTCATTGCTTTAATATAAGGAATTCATATATTAAATTTCAATGAAATCGGTTGATTATTTCTCTTTATATACACAAAACTATATGTTTGGCCCGTAGTAAACGTCTAGTAGCCGATGCCTGATCTTCCCAAAAAATTTACATGTTCATTGTTTTAATACGGGGAATTCATATATTAAATTTCAATGAAATCGGTTGATTATTTCTCTTTATATACACAAAAATGTATATTTGGCTCGTAATAAACGCTCAGTTGCTGATGCCTGATTTCTTCCTAAAGTTAGGAATTTTTGCGTATGATCGAGAAAAGCTTATATATGAAATTTCAAGTAAATCGGTTGAATACTTTCTTCAAAATGGTGAAAAATGTAAAATCGGCCCACAAATCAGTTTTCGAGCCCTGATCTTTCCAAAAAATTTATATGTTCATTGCTTTAATACGAGGAGTTCATATATTAAATTTCAATGAAATCGGTTGATTATTTCTCTTTATATACACAAAAATGTATATTTGGCCCGTCGTAAACGTCTAGTTGCCGATGCCTGATTTCTTCCAAAACATACAAATTTTTGCGGACGGTCGAGCTGAGCTTATATATAAAATTTCAAGTAAATCGGTTGAATATTTTCTTCAAATTGTTCAAAAATGTAAAACAGGCCCGCTAAAAAGTGCAGTTCCCGAGGCCTGATATATACCAAAAGTTGATCAATCCGTGCCATGGTGGAAACAAACTTATATATAAAATTTCATCAAAATCGGTTCAGCCGAACTTGAGATACACGCGTGCACACACAGACCGACAGACGGACCGACCGACAGACCGACAGGTTGCTAAAAATAGTTTATTTACACTTCCCTACTATGGAGAAGAACATTTCCACCGAAAACTCGATGTGCAAAATTTGTTGCCATCACATAACCTACCTATTGTTTACACAATACGGTCGGTAAAAAGGAAAGCACACAAATATATTTTGCAAGCGCAAAATATTTTTTTTTTTTTTATTTAGATTTATGGAATCTATTTGCGTCAGTGGGCCGGTAGGCTGGTTTACCAGTTGAGTGGATATGACAACCTTGGCAATTTGCTGCTGCTTTCAATTCTTTTCCTTTTGATGTAGATAATCTAGATCCCCATGAGACATGTTTGGCACTCATATCCCCACCTAATATGAATGTTTCTCCTAGTTCTTGCAGAATTTTAATATACTCATTCTTTTCCATTTTTGTTGAATTTGGGTGTTAGGTATATTGCACCAACAACGAGTTTCCGTTTTTCTGTTTTTATTCAATATTTTGTATGCTATTCATTCAATATTTTGTATGCTATTCTGTACATTGTAGCTTAGATTATCTTTTATTATTAAAGCACTCTCACCTTTGGGTTGATTATTTGGATGTCGACTTGGTGAGTATTATAATTTTTTATTTTCAGGTACATTTGATCCGTCAGGTGAGGTTCCGAAAGTAAACAAATATCTATGTTGTGCGTTATAAGAAATACTTCAAGTTCTTGTATTTTGTTTTTTATACCGTTGGCGTTCCAGGTGGCGATTCTTAATTGCTTATTGATCATTTTTATTTTTCAGTCTTCTTGTACCAGGTAGGTAATTCTCGATGTTATCTAGCCTAAGTGTTAGATTACTGATTAAATTATAAATACTGTTCAGAACTTCATTGAAATCATTTTTTTTTGTATTTGGATCTTTTTTCACTGCCTGTGCATATGATATCTCTTTTACGACTTTCTGACTTGTGTTATTATTATAGGTATGTATAGTCTCATCTTGTGTACTCATACCATTTCTTATGTTCTTTTGCATGTTTCTTCTTTTTTGCAATTCTTTTGCAATTATGCATCCTCTATAGTTCGCTGGGTGTGCCTCATTACAGTTAGCACATTTCGCAGGTATACCTTTGCTTTGAGTACAAACGATTGTAAGGTGGTTACCGGCACATTTAACGCAGCTTGGTTCCCTGTTGCAATATTTCTGAGTATGTCCATGCCTTGGCATCTTTTGCATTTTGGTATTTGATTAATGTTCTTTAATGCTTCTATTTTCACCTTAATGTTGCATATGTATTTTATGTTATATATTTTTTCTATGTTTTCAGTGTTTTCAAATGTTAACATAAACAGTGGTAATTTAGTGATATATTCTTTTTCATTTAATTTTCTTTTACTATATTTGTTTACTACACTCATTATTTTATACTCTCTTTCCAGTAATTCGTTTTTAATATCATCTGGATCACACGATGGATGAAGGTGCCTGACCATTACCCTTATAGGTCTGGTCTGCGTATTTTCGTATGAGTGCCACTCCATCTTAGCAATGTTCGCGTAATTTGTGAGTTCCCTGTATTCTGCTTCCGTGTTAACATTGATTTTCACTTGGTTGTTGTTTAGCATATATGTATGTTGTATGCTTTATGTTTTTACTTTTCAGGTCTTTGTTAAGATCAGCGTAGTTTTTTATGTTACTAAATATTACTGTTGGTGGCTTGTGATTTCTTTTTGTCTCTGATCTCTTTTCAATTTCATTTTCATTGTTCTGTGTGGGTGTACTAATATTTGACTCAAATTGGAAACTGCCTTCCGATAGTATACTTGATGAAAGCAGGCTATATTTGTTCTGATTTTTATCGTTCTCCTTATTTTTGTAATTGAACACTGTGGTTATATTTTTATGTTTCCAATTTGTCGGCGACTGAGTTCTTGTTTCCCCTTTCTTTGTATTTCTTTTGTTTTTTGTTAACAACCAGTCTGTTTCCTTAGTTTTTGTGTGCTTTTTTTCTGATTGTAAAACCAAAACAATATCATGTAATTCTGATATTTTTTTATTTGCCTCGTTTAACTTGTTTTCCAAAGAACTAATTTTTGTTTCATATTCACTATGAACTTTGTGTTCTATTTTTTTATAGCTAGCAACTTCTTGCAATTCAGGTAAGTTTCCTTCTGGTGATATTTTTTTTCTTTGCAGTAACTCTGCATTGCTATCCAGCATCATGAGTTGCATTACCCTTTGTTGATGTACGTTCAGCGGTTTTTCACTATCTGACTCATATAGATTTGTTAATGACGTACTACGAGGTGGTGACCCTCTAGTTTTACTTGAGACTGTGAAAGGACTGCATAATTCATTTTTTTTTTCCCCCCAGAATCCGTGGGATCGGCCTCTTTCGAAGATGGATTTTAGTTTTTTCCATTGCATTTTTCTAATTTTGGTTTTACGAAGTAGCTCCTCTTCTTTTCTATATTTGGCCGTCAACCTGGAATACCGGCTCCAACCAAGACGCCGCTCATTCTGAGTACAGACGCATCCTGGGTCCCGCCATTCTCGTTTGTTCACTGA